CTGGCAGACCCTGGAGGTCGTGGTCACCCGGGAGGCCCTCAACGCCAAGGAGGCGGTCGTCTTCGAGGCCGTGCTCAGCTGGGCCGAGGCCGAGTGCAAGCGGCAGGGCCTGCCCGCCACCCCGCGCAACAAGAGGCACGTCCTGGGGCCGGCCCTCTACCTGGTCCGCATCCCCACCATGACCCTGGAGGAGTTCGCCAACGGCGCCGCCCAGTCAGACATCCTGACGCTGGAGGAGACGCACAACATCTTCCTGTGGTACACGGCGGCCAACAAGCCCCCGCTCGACTTCCCGCTGACCAAGAGGCGGGGCCTGGCCCCGCAGAGGTGCTCAAGCTCAAGCGCCTGGGGGTGGTCCTCGCCCAGAACCTGATCAGGTTCGTGTCCGACGGCTCCTGCAGCACCTTCCTGGTCTGGTTCGAGCACCCGGTGCAGGTGGAGCAGGACACCTTCTACACGGCCAGCGCCGTGCTGGACGGCAGCGAGCTCAGCTACTTTGGGCAGGAGGGCCTGACAAAGGTGCAGTGCGGGAAGGTGACCTTCCAGTTCCAGTGCTCCTCCGACAGCACCAACGGCACCGGGGTGCAGGGCGGGCAGATCCCCGAGCTCATCTTCTACGCCTGAGGCCGTGGGCGGGCGGGCGCTGGGGGGACAGAGCCGCTCGCTTTCTCCCCCGAGGGACAGGCTTCAGAACTCCTAACCTTTTGTGCGCAGCTGGCTGTAGCCAGGGGTATAAACGAGACGGTTCTACATGGCCAGAGCCCAGGTTCTGAATCCAGGGGGCTGGGCCTCGTCACATCTCCTGCACATTGGGGTGCACACTCAGGTGGAGGGCGGATTTGGGGGGGGGCAGCCCGGACCCCACCAGAGGTGCCCACACCACCTGCTTTGTGGGCTTGGCCGTCCCTCCCACCCTCCTAGATCTTGTTCTGAGTTGTTCTAAGCTTAAGACCTCCCACCAAATCTAAAACCTGGGAAAAGTCATTTAATATCATTTCTCTTGAGTTTTAATAAAGTGAGAGCCACAGGCAGATAGGTGCTGCAGTGTGCTCAGTTCTCAGCCACCCGGCAGTGGAGGAGAAACCTACGTGCGAGACAGTGCTCACTGGTCAGAAGCAGCTGCGGCCCAGGGAGGCCCGTGTGTGCAGACCTGCCCTCTGCCAGCAGGCGGGGCCTCCCCCATCGGGGCAGCTGGCTTCCCAGGGCTGCAGCCAGAATGCTCTGGAAAAGGCCAGAAGTGTTGCACTTGGTTCCGTGTCCTAGCTGCTCAGACGAAGCCCTACTCTAGGACGGACTCGGATTCGGGGGGAGGGGGGACCTCGCAGGGTCCCAGGGTCCAGCCCCTGGAACGTGCCTGGCAGCGGGAACGCCCCCCCAGGTGCGCTGCGAGGGAAGCAGGCTGTGGCCTCCAACAGCGCTCTCCCTGGGCCGTTGCTTTGCTTCTGGAAACGTAGCAGGATTCCCGGGGGGAGGGCCTCCCCGTCCTGCAGCCTCCAGGCCCTCCTCCCGGACCCTGCCTGCCAGCCCTGGGGACCGTCCTCTGAGGGACCCAGGCCCGCCCTCCTGGACGCCAACAGGCACCGGAAGAGGCAGGCCCAGCAGACAAAACCGTGCTCCGGGCGGAGCTCCACCACACGGGCGGCTGCGTCTGCCGAGGTCCCACCTGCCGGCACCTGGCTGCCCGGCGCTTTCCCCACGCACTGCAGCTCCCACCCCGCCCTCTGTCTGCACCCTCGTCCACACTCACAGAGGACTGACTGCAGCGTTTTGGTTTTAAATCAGAAATGACCGTCACTGCTGAGCTCCTGGCAGCATCGGGGACACGTTTCTTACCTCGTCCTGTGCTTGCCCTCGCACACCCCCCTCCAGCCCGCCTCGGCGCTGGCCCGGTGTGCACTGGCCCGGTGAGTGGGCCCTGCCTACCTATCGCGGGCGCGTTGATGCAGAGCTCTCTCGCCAGCAGGAGGAACGTCTTCCCCAGCACGTACACATTCACCTGTGGAGAGCCACGGGGGGCGGGGCAGGGGGCGTTTGTATGAGGAAATGTCTGCTTTATCCCTTCAGAACCTGCACTTCCCTGTCCAGCCTCTGAAGAACCCTCTGCGGCCCCCAGTCCGGCCTCCTCCAGCCCAGCAGGCCCTGGTGCCAGGGGGTCCCGCGGCTCCTGCTGGAGGGTCCCCCTGAGTCCCCAAGGGAGTGCTGGGCCTCGGGGGGTGTGAGGAAGAACAAAACGGGAGCCCGGCCCTCAGCCTCTTCGTTCCCTCTCAGTGGGCAGCCCTGGCCGTGTGAGCTCCCAGGGTGAGGCCCTCACAGGGCAGGCTCCTCCCCCCGGAGCTTCAGGTCTAAGCAAAATGTGGGTCAGCCTGAACCTGCGGGTCAGCACAGGGTCTCCCGTGGGCCCCGGATCGGCCCCCGGTGAGCGGGACCATCCACTCCAACCGCCCTCTTCGTCTGGACACCC